TAGAAAATATTAATTCTCTAGACTTCAAGGCTTCTATTTGTCCTTGCAAAGTAGCTTTCTGGCCTAAAAAGTATTGTATTTGAGCTTCTTTTGGAGATTGCTATGCCATATCTTTCATATTGTAATTTTTTTGTTGAACTCTACTATTGTAATGCCTTTTCACCTCACAATTGACTTTTTAAGAATAGCTTATGGTATCTTCAATATAGTATCCAATGTGATCACAAAAATTAACCTTGGACTATATAATGACTATTGACATGATACAAAAGGTGAATAATCGAACACTTGCTCTAATATCAATGAAACAGGATCAGACTATGTCAAAATCTCAAGATCTTTCCAATCCAAAATAACATAAGGCATCCTTATAAAATAGGACAAAACAGACTAGAACAAAATAGAATGGAATTAAACAAAATAAGATATGAAAGACAAAATTGAGGGAACAGAAACAAAAAAAAATAGATCTGAACAGAAAGGTACAAAATCAAACTTTAATAAGAAAAAAAAATTTGAAGCCATATCCCACCAGATGTCCCAAAAGGCCCTGGCCAATCCTATTTATACCTTGTTTTATTATCCTAGACTTTCTAGAATGTTCATAGATAGTAGGCCCCATCTATATACCTGTATTAAACTTCTTTTTTAGAAGGTTCTATGATAGGCCCCACATAAATAATCACCCTAAGCTTTCTTTTAGAAGATTCTATGGTGGACTCTACTTAAATAACCACCTTAAACTCTTTTTAGAATGTTCTATGATAGGTCCTATCTAGTCCACTAACTTAACTTTAATTCTAAAAACTTCCATGGTTCTAATTATCTATATAATTATCTAATCTATACTATATTACACACTCACTACAAAGAATAGTTTCACACTTGTTTTGATATCAATGAAACAAGACTAGTCTATCTCAAGTATCGAAGATCCTTTTAATCCACAATAGCATAAAATCTCATTATAAGGTAGAATAAACTAGACCAAAATAAAATTAAATAGAATTAATGAAAATAGGACATAAAAGTCAAAACTGAATAATCAAAATTAGAACAAAATAGAATAGAACAAAATAAAAAGATATAAAATCCAATTATATTAAGGAAAAGGATTCAAAGCCATACCTAACCTAATTCTTCAAAAAGTCCTAGCTAGTCCTATATATACTTTATTCTATCATCTTAGACTTTCTAAAATGTTCCTAAATGATGGATCCCACTTAGATAACCACCTTAAAATTCTTCTAGAAGGTTCCATGGTAGGCCCTACTTAGATAACCATCTTAAGCCTTTTTTAGAAGGTTCTATGGTAGATTCTACTTAGATAATCATCTTAAACTCTTTCTAGAATGTTCCACGAGGAATCCTAGCTAGTCTGTTAACCTAACTGTAATTTTAAAAACTTCTATAACTTCTCAAATATGGTTCTAATTATCTATCTTTATGTATCAATAATACAGATATTTTATTTATACCTTGTTATACATGTGATATTTGTTCAAGATCCAAAACTTGTCATCGGCCTTATAGACTTCTTTAGCCATTCCATATTTTGTGAATAATTATGTTCTTCTATTTCTATGGATTTTATCACGGATCTTTTAGTCTTACATTTATATGATTCTATATTCATGATAGTAGATTATTTTATTAAGATGGCATATTTTGTACCATGTACAAATCTATTACATGTAAAGAAATAACTAAGCTTTTTTTTAATAATAACTATCACTATCATGGATTATCAAAGGATATTATATTAGATAGGGAGACTCAATTTATATCAAGATTTTGGAATATCCTTTTTAAGTTTTTAAAGATAGATATAAAGCTCTCTTTGACTTTTCATCCTCAAAATAATGGATAAATGAAACAAGTAAATTAAATTTTAGAGCAATATTTGAAGTGTACCATAAACTATCATCAAGATAATAGGATAATTCTTTTGCCATTCGCAAATTTTTTGTATAATAATTCGATATATTTTTTATTCAATATATAATTTTTTTATTAATTATGATTATCATCCATGACTTCATACTTTTGACTTTTCAAAAGTTGATAATCCTATAGTAGAAGTTTTGGCAATTTTTTTGTTAAAGCTATATATAACAATGAAGGCACAATTAAAAGAAGCTTAAAAATGATAAAAGATCAATAAGGATGCTTATTGCAAGGAACAACCAAAATTCAATATAAGTGACAAGATATGGTTATTTTGTCACAATATCAAGACTATTCGTCTTTGTGACAAATTGAACTATTGTATGTTTAGATCTTTTCATATTTATGAACAAGTCATTCATGTTACTTATCAATTATATCTACTAGAGTATATAAACATCCATCTTATATTCTATAAGTCTTTTCTTGAACAAGATAAGATAGTGAATATCTTGAAAGAAGAAAAATGTTACCTCTTCCTCTAGAAGTAGATAATAATCAAGTGTTTGAAGTGAGAGAAGTCTTAGATTCATAGCAGGACAAAAATAGATTAAAATATCTTATTTTTTAGTACAAATATGACATTAATAAATACACATGGGAGATAGCAAAGAATCTTATAAATATAACAAAGATGATGGAGACTTTCCATCGATAATATCCATCAAAATCAAGATGAAGAGTAATAAGACCTATGAAAGATGATGACTACTCCTAGTGGAATTTGTCTCTTGAAAGAAAGATAATGTCATGAACATACATATTTATTCTATTAATTATCTATATGATTATGCAGAAATAGATAAATATAGATTAATTTCATAATATCTTCTAAAATAACTTAAAAGATTTATAGATGCAATTTTGATTTTAAACAAATTTATAGCTGATTGATATGTTAAAAACTTGATCAACAAATTAACCACATGTCACTTGTATTAGTAGCTTCGAGAATAAGTTAACTATGTGGCATATACTTATATAAAAACTTACCTTGAAAGTTAAAATATATATCTTATAAAATCAACATGTATTAGAGGTTTTACATAATATTGTCATATAATTCTTAGTTACATAGTATATATAAAAGCAAGAATAAAGTCTTTTTTATTCTTATCAATGCCTTTTTAGTCTTTGATCTTGTTTCAAGACTTTCTAGTCTTTTTGTCTTTAGCAATAGCCATTCTAGTTCAATATAGTATTATCTTTGAGTGACTTTTTAATCTTTTTAAGTGATACAAGAGTGTATTGAATTTTTCTTTTTGAAATTCATGTCTTGGATATAATTAAAGCATTGAAGAATGGTTCTACCAATAATTAGAAAAAAAATAAAGGAAAAAATTGGACTTCTAGCTATGTAGCAAAAATTTAAGACTTATGTTTATCTAGTACAATTAAATCTAATATGCATTGTCCATTGCTTACTTAAGGCAAGATTTTCTTTCCATGATAGTGCCAAAATAGGTTAAAATATCTTATATAATGGTATGGATACAATATTAGTAAATTCATATGAGAGCTATTTATAAATCTTATAAATATAACAAAAAAAATTGGTATATTTATTAATAATATCTATCAAAATTAAAATAAAAAGTTAAGTTTTTTTTTATCATAAAATAAATAAGATTTAATGAAGAATTAATTTTATCTTTTGTATTTATTTATTTTATTTTTATTTATAATGGAGTTTTAAAAACTAATAAATTTAATTCAAAAATTATTATTTGTTAAATAACAAATAATATTTTTTCTTGATATTTGGTGATATTATTAAAAGTGGTCTTAAGTATACTTGAAACTTCAATCAAGAAGGAATAATTTCAAATAATGTAACTAAGTTTTGTATTAAAAAATTAAGAATAAAATAATTAATGATTAATGCTAAAAAAATAAAAGAATTAAATACCATAAGAAAAATTAACTTAAGAAATGAGTCAATAAAACTAAAAAAGGCATTAGATTTATCTCTGCTCATACTACTTGTAAGGCTAAAGACTTGGAGTCTAAGCTTTTTATGTCTTTTTATGCAAGCTACTAGATGACTTGGCAACCAAATCTTAAGAAGTCTCTCAAAAAACTTCCTATAAAGACTTGTAGTCTAAACTTTACTATGTGGCTTGATTTTTAAATTATTCTAAAAACTTTTTAAAAAAATAATTAACATAACATGCGAGCACTGCTCTTTGTGTAACTTATTTTTATAAAAAGAGATAATATCATAGATATTAATATTGACATAAGAAATTAAGAGGATAAAAAAAATTAGATAAAAGTATGTAAAAGTAGGCAAATTTGATAATATCTAGGTGAATAGCTTTTTAGAAGCTTCATGGTCACAAATTTGATTCTATAAGTATTTGTAGGGAATTTGTAGATTGAAAACTTGGCTAATAAGTTCGCCACATGGCACACATTTTGGAAACTTATCTTACAAGTTAGATAAATGTTAGATGACTTATAGAACATTGCCATATAGTTCCTTTGTTAGATCACATATATGGAGGCAAAAATGAGGTCTTTTTCATTCTTATCAATGCATGTCTGGTTTCTAATCTAATTTAAGTTGTCTTTAGTATACTTGTATTTAGCAATAGTCATTTCAATTTCTTATTGATTACACATTTTTTCTTATTTTTGACATAGTTTCTAATTTTTTATTTTTATTTTTATAAGTTCTTCTCCTTTACAATGACCTTTGAATCACCTTTTTAATAGACATTGATCAAAGTTTGTTGTTAATACAATTTAATAGATAAAAGTTTGTTATTAATACCATTTAATAACATGTCATTTAAAAAGTATTTTTACTTTTATTTTTATTCAGACGTATGAGAGGATCCTAATTTTTACTCTGTTTTATCCCCTCGTTTTCCGATTGAAATAGAGAGAAATTTGAGTTTCAATCGTAAAGTGTTTAGACAAAAAGAAAAGATAAGCCTGGCCAGCAAACACCTTTTTCATGGCAGAAGCACCTACCGAGGAGAAGTCCTCGGCCGAGCGTGGCGATAGTGCTGCTCCGAGCACATCTGCTGGCGACGATCATGCACATATCTACAGACCCGGCGCTGTACACAGTGTCGCGGTCAAGTCCACGTTGCTTGATCCTCTGTTGATCCGCCCTGGACATGCTAATCGCCGTATTCTCTCCGAAAGCGGCGTTCTTCGCACACGACTGAAATGCAGAGTTCCTACTCGGTAGCAACTTGCCTCTCACGCACACCTGGCCTCCTCATCAGCTGCACCGCAGATTTCTCCTATTGGATAATTCGAAAGCTCTTCTGGACGTAAATCTTCAATGTGCAGAGTTGCCGACGAGAATGTGGAGGTCATTAGATATTTCAAAAGTGTTGTTGTCGGTCCGCTGCTCGTTTGTCGTGGTGGACTCGTCAGGATTGCTAGTCTCCCTCCTGCAGGCTTGTTTGGTTTCTGTGTGCGACTGATTGACTGTGTCTACATTCTGCTGGTTTCAATTCTCTTGTGCAGGAAATGTTCGCTGTGTTGATAGTTGTTTGGGCAGATATCGAAGGACCAGCTCTAATCTTTCTGTAAAGCTTGCGATTCAGAGGATAGTAGAGGGATCTGTAGAAGCACGAATATGGCGTTCGACGCACAGGGACTGGGGTTCATGACCCTGGGGGAGGCGCTCGGTGAAGCTGAGCAGGAGGCCATCAAATCCAGAGAACCTCCAAATCTCGAGAGCGTGCTGACTATTGCACTAGTTGATGCTCAATCTCGTCACGTGAAGGAAATATGGTGTAGTGTCATGGAAGGAGAGATGCTCGATTCAAGCCGGAAGCTTGCGAACCTTGTAGCGTTAGACTCGAAGACGCCACCGCAAGCTGTTGGATATGCGCTCGTGCAGGCGTGTCGTGAGGGTTATCTTATCTGCGTGCGTCGTCTTCGGGAGATTCAGGGGAAGCAATGCGGCTGGAGTTTGTTGGTGGCCCTGTTTAATGCGTTTGGCATTTTGAAAGTTGCCGAGGCAGGGCATGTCGAGGTCGTGCAGGAGATGCTTCGGCCGATGGAGTCGGCGAGCACAGCTTTGATGGGGTTCATGTTGGCAAGCAGATGGAGAGACAAGGATGGCTCTAAGCATTACCCTTTTGTGGAAAACCCGGAAAATTTTCCCACGAAGGATTGGATGCAGAAGGTATGGAGCTCGAAGGCCTTGCTCCCACAGGTGAAGCCGATTTTTCAGGCGGGGTGGAATTTGATGGGGCAATCAGGCGCTCCGGATTGCTTTCACGATGTGATTCGGTCGTGCTATGGAACGTATTTAGTGTGGCGTGTCTCTGTAGTTGCAGCATCTCAGTGTCATTCTGATGTTTTCAGGATTTTGCTGAAGAGGAGATGGTTGGATAACCTCATTCTCAAGGAAACGCTATCTCGCATCTTAGAATCAGCCGATGAATTCGGTAGCGACCGCTTGGACTCCGTCATGAAGAAGATTATTGCAGACAGAGCAAAGATGGACACGCTCATGTACCAATTGGTGGAAGAATACAGTACGAAAAATTACCATGACGCCATGTTGTACACTCTTTGGAAGAATTGTGTGAGTAAAAAATCTTCAAGAGATGACGGGAAGCCCAAGTGTCAGGCTGAGGCCGTCGGTGGAATATGGGAAATAAAACTGGATGTTCCGCTGATGATGATGACCGTCGCATATGCCGCCAAGGTACAATTACAATGATTGAACTGCAAGTTTCAATGTATTCCCTTGCATCACTTGCAAACTCTCGCCGCTAGATTTCATCTTACTTTTCTGTAATTGTTGCGAGACCACAGGATGAGGAACCGAAAGATCGGTACAAGCACTTGACGATGCTGTACGCACAGACTGCGCAGCTGAGCATTCAACTCTTAAGTTCAGTTGTATTGGAGGGAGATTTTCTATAGGTAAATTATCCAATACCTCATGCCAACTGCTTTGCTGCCATGGTGCTAAATGTACGAAAATTTCCAAAATTCCTTTTTCTGATATAAACGCCGCAGGTGTCTGTAGCGGTGAAGCAAGTGAGATTTAAGGCGGAGAATTCTCGTTGGGATGATGCGTGCATGGGCCATTTCCCCTCCGGAGTGAGAGTGTCGGTGCTGCCCCTCACCGATGAAGGATCGAGCGTGACTTTGACCCACTCGTCCTCGAACGCTGAGTACACAGTTGGAAGGGTTGAGAACATGAGTGTTGGAGCTAATGCCAGTCTTGCTCCGAGAGGTGGTTTTGGGGCTGGTTTCGGTGTCAGTGCATAGCAAGGGACGAATATTCTGATGTCGAGCACGCCATGGAGATTCGAGCAGGTTCCTTTGTCGGACGATAATAATCGCGGGGGCTGCTTCCAGTGGACATTGCAGGCCATGAAAGGCATTCCTTTTGACAGGGCGAATCCTATTCGCATGGCAGAGTCGAATTCGATGTGGAAGTTGGGGAGGCGAGTTGGCAGCAATCCATTGGACGAGCTTCCCTTCACAAGCGAAGGTGGAGTGCAATTCAGTAACACGCAATTCCCTGACGTTATGATCTGGCGGTTCCCTGTTTCGAAAAATGGGAAGAAATTGAGGTGGAGGATCGAGGGGGAGGTTTACATGACGTATACTACGGAACACTACTTTGAAACCCGCTCAGCCAAGTTTTCCGGCGACGTTGAGGACACATTGACCCCTGCGAAACCTGATTTTGAGCATAACATGAAAAAATTCAAGTCGGAGGTTGAGGATTTGCTAGGTTTGGCCCCCCCTGAAAAAGATGCGGAGCCTATCTCCGAAAAAGAACCTTCACTTGCGAAATTCAATACGACTATGAAGAAACAGTTTCTGGAATGGCTGGAATTCAAAAAGGAGCTGGATGAAATGCAAGGGAAGAAAACTCCCAAGGATAAGCTGCAGAAGAAAGAAGAGGTTATCGAAGAAGAAGAAGTTGAGGCAGTAGCGAAGGAAACTCTGGCGCAGGAGGAAGTGAAGCCGGAGTTGAAATTCATATCTTCGGACGCAAGCCTTGGATCCTCCTCGAGACTATACTTGACCCAATTCAGAGCCAGCAGAGGTGCAGAGGGTAACGATATTGGAGCAGAAGATGGGCAAGAGAGGGCAAGAGTAGAAGTTGCCGAAGCATCAAAAATGGATAACAAGTCAAAATCGATCTTCTCTTATAGAACGAGAGGGCGTTCAACCTATGTTCCTCCTGAGAAAGCAGTGGAAGTGTCCTCTGGTTCCAACCGAAGAGAACGGAATTATACTTAAACTCCTCCAGAGGACACATCGCAGGAGTCCTCGGTACAAAGACGGAATTCAGGAATGCAAATTGTGGAAACAGATGAAGAAGCACCTGTCACTTATTTCTCACGATCCGAATGGTCTGTAAGGTATGCCGCACCGGAGAAAACAATTTCAAATTTTCCTCGCTCTCCTCCAAAGGGATCATCCTCTCCCTCTGGAGTATTTAGTGATAATCGTCCAGACGAAGCCTCTCAGGTATCCTCCACCCCTTCCTTGTCGCGACTCAGAGCCAACAAGGGCAGGTTCGGCTATTGAGTAACCAGCGTGATCTACTTCAAGTCAATTTCATCAGCAGAAAGTGCTGGATTCATGAGGAGACCCTACGCAACGAAGTATCAGTCAAAGATTTTCAATGAGTTCATGGCTACTTGGGATCAGTTTACAGATCAAGCTCGAAGCTTGAGCTTGACTCGAACGATACGGGCGGGCATGTTCCAATTGGATCCAGCGTGTGGTTGGTTGTCAGAACTAGCGAGCAGAATCAGGCACGACTCAGCAAGTAATAGCTTGATCGAGTGTGTCGAGTATTCCGGCGTGTTCTGTTCCGCATGTGGACATTCTGGCTATGGATTAATCCTTTACCAATTGAATGTACACATCCTGGCACCAATAGAATGAACACAAATTTACTACTGAACTGCCCATGTCTAACTCTTCTGAATTGTCGATCCTCTTCAAGAAGCCACCTGCTGAAGAAGGCATGTTGTAAGCTTTGACGATGAGTTTGAGTATATCTTTAGGAGGGAGAATGTTTTCCAGAAATTCACTGTGATGGACTTTGGGCGAGGTAGATGTGATAAGATTTCATACAGCGCCATAGTTATTAACTGGTGGGTACAATTAAGCGCAATAGTGCAACCGTTCCAGGATAGTTTCTGTTATATATAAATGTGACCTTCCAGAAAGCTCTCTTAGTTCGAATAATACAATCATATTGGCAAGTAATTTCCTCCAATATAAACGGACATATCCCTTCAGTAGTCTTTGTTCGAAGCGCTGTCTCTCCTCAACTTGATTTATCAAATTCTCTTGAGCAAGTATCAAATATTTCTTTTGTTCAAATCCCGTTGGCATTGCAACTAAATCAACCACCCATTTGTAGTGAATTGCCAATGGATATGTTGAATGCAATCCATTTCAATGACAAATGTTTGAATATGTTTGACAAGTCTCACAAGATCCTACAAAATCTGTTGCATCTTTATACATGCCCTTCCACCAATATTTTTCTTTTACCTTCGCAAATGTTGCTCAAATGCCTGGATGTCTAGCCCACCAACTTTCATGAAATTCTTTAATGATATTTTATTGAGTGCCATAGCCACATACAATCTGTTGTGGCACTCCACCTCTTTACTTTGAATGCTTTCATAAAAATCCATCTTAAAGAAAATATCCATAAGCCTTCTTCTAAATTCTTTTAAATTCATAATCCGCCCAATCTTCTTATCACTTTAATGTACTTAAGTATTTTTCTATATACAACCATGCACCATCATATAATGCTTCTGAGAATGATTCAAGTAATGTAGTCAAATATATCCTATTTCTTCTTGTACACAAAGTTAAATTAAAATTGGTACTAATATTTTCTTCATCATTAACCATATCATCTTCATCATCATATCATGTTTGTAACAACATATCTACAACTGCATTGTTTTTTCTCAAAATATACTTGAATTCTAGATTCATAGACTTTATATATGCAATCTATCTTAACTTTGCTATATCTAATATAGAACAACTAGTAATCATGCGTAATAAGAAAAAATAACTTGTTTCTATAATTACCAATGTACTAATCAAGTATTCTTTTACATTTTTTATAGCTATTATTATATCCTATAGTTCTCTTTTAATTTTTGTATATGTCTTTTGCCTAGTATTTAAAACCTTTGCCTCAAATCTTACTACATATCTTTTCCATTATTCATCATCTTCTCCAACTGTCCAACCTATTCCAATTGGACATGCATCAACTGTTAATATCATTGATCTTCTATATTCATAATTTACTTTCTTTAAATAAGACATATCTATATGATCTACACATATGTCCTACCTTTAAAACTTCTTTTATTCCAAACATTGATTTTGTCCTTGATAAGATAAATTGAACTTCTTCTAAACTTGACAAAATCTTTTCACAATCGTTAATATAATCCTTTTGAATCCAATATCTTATCTTTTTTTTCTTCTTCACATCCTTTAATTGGCACATCATCTAAAAACGGCATTGTTATAGTTGAAATAAATTCTCTTAATACCTTATGCATTCTATTTATCATGTGTGCAACAGAATTTGTAGCCCCTTGTAGTAATGTACACATTTTGATCAATTCTAATGGTGTCTTTATAGTTATCAAATCCCTACTTTGCATTGCCAATTAAAATTGATCATAACTTGAATAAAGATCATCCATTGAATAGATAGCTCTTTCAGCAAATGCTTCTATAAATTCATCCACAATTAGACTTGAATCCATATTTTTAATAGTCAATTTATTCATAGATTGCATGTCCTATATAAATCTCATTGTTCCATTTTTCTTTGGCACTGTAAACCATCAATTAAAATAAGGTGCTATAGACAATTTCAAAATTCTTATTTTATTTTTTTATTGAATAAATCTATTGGCTTAAATAAATATACTTTTGATACTAAAATTAGTCATAAATTCCATGATTCATGAAGAATAGTAAAAATAACCATAGGTACTATAATACTTAAATCAATACATCCAATTTTATGTACTTTAAATACAAAGCTTTTCCATATCATCCAAGCATATCTTAAAAATATTTTTCTTCACATTTTGTCAAAAATCCATCACATCCAACATTTAATCCATCTAATATAGCATCTATAAATTCATATCCTATCTTCTCAGGATCCCTTAAATTTGGTTATATAGATACTTCACTCATCTTTTCTTTAGAATCTTATGGTAGTGGCAAAGCCACTAATTTGACCTTTTTTACCACTGATTTATACTTAATTTTAACATGTACCTCTTAGCAATTTAAATTTTCTATAAATCCATGAATTTTATCATAAAATCTTTTAGAATATATATTAATAATTCTATTCTTTCTTTGCAATCTACCTTACAATAAATAATTTAATTCTCTTATAATATCTATAAATCCCACTTCTTCAAATATTCTTGAAATAAATTCATTCTCAATCAATTCTCTATTTTATTTTTTATTTTTTTTCAATATTTTTAACATATTTTTTATCCATCTTCTTCATCTTGTCAATAGCTTTAAAAGACAATACACAAACTTGTGTCAATACAATAAGCTTACTAGATAATATCTTCTCTTTTACAATTAACGGTAGCATCTTTTTTTTTAACTTATTGCAATCCCGCTTTACAATGGTGTGTGGTAAAAATCCCTCACATACTCATCTCTAAATTCTCTAGTAACCTTTGGAAAAGATTTTTCTCTCAAACTTCCACAAATTCTTTCATGATTAGCACATACCATCAAAAATTGCATTGTTCTTGTTCTATCTCCACTTCTAATCTGAGTATATGTCAATCCATTGTCTATAACCTTTGTTTCTATGCAAGTAGTTGTAATATAAGATTGTCCTAGAATGATAGGCTAAGTAGACATATCTTGCATAAAGAAGTTTTGTTCATCACTAATATCTTCTATTGTAACCTTTATATTTGGATGTGCTCTATATAATTCTCCTCATGAATTATTTACTGCTCAAATCATCTATCCATGCTCGATGTCAATAGGCCATTTTTTTCTTTCATACAATTCTTTTGATATCAAATTGATTTCTAAACCATGATTAATTAATTCCATAATAGGTTCTTCTAAATATCCTAACTTAATTAATGTTTTCGCTATTACTCTTGTCCAATAACTACAATTCAAAATAATGACTTGAAATTTGGATTTTTTCTCCTTCATCCATAATCCTTATATGTGAAACATCTCCATATGCATAATCATTATCTTCTTCATGTACCATCACTCTTGTTCCTTGTACATTTGAAGCCATATTCTCATCCAAAATTTACTATTTCTTCTTAATAATATCTATAATGACCTTATGAAATTCTCTCTTTGCTATTCTAAGAATTTATCTCAATATAAATTCTACCTTTCCATTTAAAATGTATTCTTCTAAAATCTTCTTCAAATCCGTTGTTGCCTCAATATCTGATTGTAATTTATAAGCATGAGCCTTTGCTTTTTTAAATATAATTTTTCTTTTTATTATAGAAATATTTTTTGTTGTCTCTTCATGCATAAGATTCTTTTGTTATTGTATCTTTTCTTCTATCATAGTTCTTTTTCATGACCCTTCATTATTTTCATCTCTCTTTTATTTTTCTTCTATTAATTCTTCATATTGATTCCTTATAATATATGCATGTATAAATAGACTATCAATTGGATCATTCTAACTCTTGGTTTTTTAAATAGACTTGACCGCATTAAGTAATATATTTCTAGCAACCTTCTCATTTGTCTCACTCTTCATTATACTTGGCTACAATAAACTTATATGATCTCATGCTTTAATGCTTATGCTCGCATAATCCCAAGTAGGTCCAATCTTATATGTCTTTGTTTTATTTGCATAAACCATCAATGCTTTCATATTCCCATTGCCAAATTTTGTCTCCAATTTTTCTCTACTTTCTTTTAGGTGTATCATACCATCTTAAAGAAAATAATTTCTTTACGTAGTACCTCTCTAAAATCCTCACATTTCTTTCTTAAATGATCTATGCTATCACACCACATGCACCTATGTATTATACCTTCCATCATCCTTAACCTTTATTTTATTGATACTCTTCATGATTGACCCTTCTCTTTAAATTTTATAAATTTTATTTGCAAATATTTCATCCCTTATATAATTTCATCAATGTCCATTTTTTCTTTCTTTGATATAGTCATTGAAGGTTGAATTATAGATGTAGGATTGATAGTAGGTATTTTTATCTGAGATACTTACAATGGTATTTGAATATCCACCCTCTCCTTTATCTTTTCTCTTTTTGCAAGCAATCCTATTACTTCTTCTACTTTCTTCTAATTTGTTTTCAATCTTTCATCTTCTTCTTTATCTTTAAGAAAGATTTCCAACTTTGTTTGCAACTTTCTAGCAGCCCCTTAAAGAAAAAATTCTATTCTATTTAGATTCAATAATTACATCTCTTTCTTTGATAAAAAAGAATATTACATTTCAAATTCTTTTAATAATTATGTTGCTAAAAGATCCTTCTTTGGCCTTTTAATCCATTCAAAAAATGACTTCTTTGTGATCCTGTCTGAAACAAGACTAGACTAATTCAAAAATCTAAGACCATTTTAATTAAGAATAATATAAGGCCTCTTCACAAAATAGAACAAAAAAAACTAAAGAAAAATTAAATGGAATTAAATAGAATAAGACATGAAAGACAAAATTCATGAAATAAAAACAAAATAGAACAAATCTAAACAAAAAGATGTAGAACCAAACTTTACTAAGAAAAAGGTCCAAAGCCATATTTGACCAAATGTCCCAAAAGACCATAGTGAGTCCTATTTATACTTTGTCATTCCATCCTAGACTTCTAAAATGTTCTAAGGTAGTCGACTCTACGTAAAAAACCGCCTTAAATTCCTTTTCTAGAAGGTTCTATTTAAAAGTGGATACCTCAATCATGACGTATGTCACTAGGTACGTCATTGAAAAGACATTTTCATATTTTTGTATGAACTACTCTACCCATTCTATGCCTTTAACTATCTTTTCTACCATTGACGTAAAGATTTAGAACCATTACGTATATTGATTGCTCATACTATAATTGCTTCTTCATAAAGGTCGTATCTACATGTAAGACTTTGATTATAGATTATCTTTTCTCTTCACTTGATATGGACGTGCTAAGAGTCACCTTGCATTTTTCATC